GCTGAGTGACAGGAGTGGGATGTACAATTTTACAATAGGGTCGCAACCCTTCAAAGGCCTACAGTCCATTGGTGAAGTCAAGAGCTAAACCCCACTGGGCATAGTGGTGCATGCCTGTAATCCCACCCCTCTGAGAGGCTGAGGCAGGAGGATTGCAAAGATCAAGCCAAGCCTGGCAGCTAAGTAACTTAGTGAGACCCTGTCTCAAACTTTAAAAAATTAAAAAGAGCTGGGGGTGTAACATCAGCACAAAGGCCTGGTGCCACTAAGTAACCCGACAAAGCCAAGAGCTCAGGCCAGGGCTGCACAGGGCCACTGACAAGTGAATAGTGAAACTTTCGGCCCAGTGACCTGCCATGAGCCCCGCTCCCAGGAGGTGACCTTGTGTGAAGGATGAAAGGGTAGATGGAGTGGGGAAAGGGATGGGGAGAACAGAGGAAAGTAAAACATCCAGCAGTTCTCGAAGACTGGGACTGCAACGTGCAGGCTCATGGCGCTGAGGCCCAGGCAGGGTATTTCAGCAAGTACCGGGGTCTGGCTGAAGCACGCAAAGGCCCTGGGCTGGGCACACAGGAGATGCCACTGAAGTGGGCTGGGCAGACCCTGCCCCTGCCCTGCAGGCTGGACCATGATGCCTTGGGACACAGGAAGCCATGGAAGGATCCAGGGCCTTTGGAAGTACCTGCTCTCCACCCAGAGAGCTGGAGCCAGAGCAAGATTGGTGGATCAGAGGAGAGCAGAAGCTGGCACTTGGGCACAGGCCAGCAGCACAACAGCCTGGTGTAGGAAGTACAGGCCAGAGATGGGCTTACCAGAGGGAGCCCTAGAGGGGAGAAAGGGAGGGCAGCTGCAGGAGAAAATCTGGAGTTTCTCCTCCAAATAGTTCAGCCCAGTGTGCTTCTCCAGAACTGCATCTCTGCTTGATCTTTAAAGTGTCTTTCACAGCTGCACCAAGAAAAATCAAACAAACTTTAAGCTATTTTCAAAAGTCAGGATTTGGGGGCTGCAGAGACAGCTTGGCAGTCTAAATGCCTGCCTGGCAAGTGCAAGGACCCAGGTCCGATCCCCAGAACCCCAGACACACAATGCCAGCCCCAAAACCAGGCATGACGGTGCATACCTGTAACCCCAGAGCTGGGGAGGCTGAGACAGGATTACTCTGAGTCTGAGCTGTGTGGCAAGACCCTGTACCAAATACATAAATAATTTTTTTAAAAAATCAGGGCTCAGGGCATGGCAGCAGCTCTTAGCACGGACATCTGGGTCACCCAAGAATCTCTAGGTGGCTGCTCACAGGTGCTCAAGAAAACCTGTAGCACCAGAGAGACAGTACCAAGACACACTCAACAGCCTTGGGACGTGGAGCTGTTGGAGCTGCCTAGGACTCCACAGGACAAGTTTTTAAAAGCCTGAACGAATGTTTAATGCTGGCTCTGCTATGCATGAGAGGAGCCAGATGCAAGTTCATGCTGCACATAGCGTGATTAAAACACACAGCGAATTTTTATATCTAAAGGATAGATTACAGTCAAACTTCCATCAGCCCTCCTCAGGATACCCGCCCTTGCATCAAGTACACTCATCTCCCTGTTCTTGCCACTTTCTGCAGCAGGTCTAGAAGTCTTCTTTCATGAGGGTCTCTGGTTGCACTGTAGTAGCCACTTGAATCCATTTAAAACATTTCTCTTTCATGTTCATTTTTACTTTAGGCACCAAATCCAGTCAATAAGATGGATGAAGATACGGTCACATTTTTACAACCCGGCCTTTTTATTTGATGGCACTCAACAGCAGCATTCACCATGTTTTTGATCACACCGCATGAAGATACTCATGCAAGGACTTCAAGAATGATATGTTTAGTTTTTAGCTTGTTCAAAGCAAGGGGGGGTATCCTACTGGATTAATGTGAATCACACTTGACTGATAATTTTTTAACATTTTTATTTAAACATTCACAGGATATTTATTTATTTATTTATTTATTTATTTATTTCGTACAGGGTCTTGCTGTGGAGCTCAGACTTGAAGTGATCCCCCTGTCTCAATCTCCCCAGCACTGGGATTACAGGTGTGCACCAGATGCTTGGTTTCAGGGCCAACTCAGCACACCCAGGGAACTTGGGGCGGGCACAGCAGGTAGTACTGGGGATTAAACCCGGGTCCCTGCACTTGCCAGGCAGGAGCTTAGACCACTGAGCTATCTCCCGAGCCCTATAGCATTTCTTCCAATCATACCCCATATTCCCAGTGCCCAGTTCTTGCTGAGGAATAATGAAGACCAAGGCACAGGCTTCCTTTTCCTCTGTCAACAGCAAGAGATGGAGACCGATGCAGAGCACGAAGCCACATGCAGTGCAAGTCCACCTCACCAGGCCCTGGGAGGGGAGCCTTCCTGTCTCTCTCCCCGCCCCCCGCACCTCCTGCTGCAGCATAATATCCCAGCAGGCTTCAGGCATCAACAGATGGGACACACGCTACCAAAAGAAGAGCAGGCAAAGGATGGAGAGCTTGAGGGAAGGTGGAGAAGGGAAGGGAGGATCCTCTCCATCTCCAAACTTTCCCTGCTCTGCTCTTTCCCACCAGGTTTTATGTCTCTACAAACTACGCTCGCTCAAAGTAGCCAGAAAGAAAACATCTGCCACATCCCAGCTTGAACTCTGTCTCACCCAAGAAAAGCTCTCAACGGAGCCTTCCTGCCAACTCTTCCTTCAAGCCTGCAAGGTAAGAAACTGCAGACTTCCCAGCCCATAGCCTCTGATCCAAGCAGCCAGGAAACTGTTTACACGGCAGATGGTCACGAAGAAAGCAAGCTGACCCTCGGCCCTCGGGAAGCAAGTCTCGGCTTCTCAGAAGTTCCTCCAACCAGATGGCTTTGGAAAGACTGAGTCTTGCTCGGCTTGATGTAGGCAGTAGAATGTCAGGCACAATGTCCCCAGCCACAAGCTTGTTCTCACACTCTACTCCAGACCTGCGGGGATGTGCATCCAGAAATCCGTGTCCTACAGGCCTCCTGAGTGATGCATGCAAAAGACAGGGACAGGCTGGTGCACCAACTCAGAACCCACACCCTGGGGCCCGATGGTCCAGGGTCCACTCCTAGCCCTGCTGTTCTGGGTGACAGGAGCAAGTGTCTCAGGGGTAAGTAATAGACCTACCTCATAGGTTGGCACAAAGACTAAATGAGTTCATGCATGTTGGCAAAAACACCAGGTAGCATTTTATCATTCCCTACTGGGGTACTGAGACCATGTACGTAATGTTACTAATGGAAACTAACCCCCAAAGGGTCCTCGTTCCTGAACACCCATGGGACTTGAGCTATTCCTTGGGTCCTGTGAACCTGTCTGTCTGTGGCAGGTATCTATAGAATAATGAAGCCCACACTCATAAGCCTCTAATTCCTTTCACAATGAACTGCAGGGTTTTGTCACCTTCTGCTCATTTTGTTTCCGGGTGCTCAGGAGCAGCCCTTCTGTGTGACCTCCGCAGGCTGGCCCGATGGCCTGGCCACACTATCTATGAGGGGCAGGGACAGCATCACTGCCTCACACTGCGGATGCTCGCTCAAGGCAAGCCCTGGGCGCTTCCTGATGTGAAGAAGGCCACGGTGTCCAGCCACCTGTGCAGACACCTGACCACAGCCGCCCGGAGCTACCCAGAAGGGACCATCAGAGAAGACACTAGCGTCATCCTTCTCCCTGCCCCCTGCCACCAGACTGGTCTCTAACTCTCACCACGATGAAGACAGCAAAGTGTGGCCCCTGACTGTACCCAGATGATGGTTATAATTGCAGCGCCACATATTTTTTCAGCAAACCTAATACACCTTACAATTAAGAAGAGATGAGAGACAGAAGCTTGTGCACAGTGGCCAAGCGCACAGCTCTGTGGCCAACCAGGCAGGGGGCTCTGACCACAAACTCTACTACTTACTAGTAGCAAGGCACCAGGCAACCTCCTCCAGCCTTGTTTTCTCATTTTCCATATGGGGATGGGAGGGAACCTCTCTGGACTGGTGCAAACAATCTATGAGATAATGCAATTGTAATGCCTCCCCGAGCACCTGGCAGGCAGCAAGAATTCCACCAGTTATTTATTATCATTATCTTTATGATTATCTGCAGTTCTAGAACATGTAAGAACATGAGTTGGAAGCTCAGGAGGGAAGGAGGCGGCCTGTACCTAAGTACTGCATCTGCCCTGTATAAACTCATGTGGGTACCTCAGAGCTGCCTGTAATCAAGAAGATAATCCCTGGGGGACAGCAAAGTGTCCACAGGACCAGGTGTAACGCTGAAAGTCTCCCTCTCCCCTCAGCCCCTGGAAACGCCTTAGAAGCGGCAGATTGTGACAACTGTCCCAAGCTGGTGCCACACCTCCCTTTGCTACTTTCCCTGAGCATCTTTCTCCAGGGCTCCCCGTGAACTTTAACAATTGCCCCTCTGCACCTCTAGATCAGAAACGGCTGTGGTTTTAACACCAGCCTCCACCAGGGCAGCGGGGCCGAGAAGTAAACCTCATTAGCCATGCAACCCACCTCACACACCCAAAACACTTACAGTTTTACCTCAGTACAGCAATACACGGAGCTTTGACTTTGCAGACACTTAAAGCCACCCATCTCCCGCCTCCCTCTTTCCTTCCTAAACCTCGGTCCAACCCTGAGTCCCGCCTGGATGTTCCTCTAGTTTCTGCCTTCTGGCTGGAGTCCCCAGGGAATAATTTCCCGGCTGGCACGCTAGGACTGAGAGCTAAATGTACTGACATATTTCCAGCGTAAAACCAAACTTAGAGCTGGGGCCAGGAAAGAAAGCAGGTAGTTTTCTTTCCAGCAGCACGGGCCTCCTGCCCGACCCGGGGCAGGGAAGGTAAAAAGAAGAGTGGGGAAGTCAGGTGAGGACTGTTGAGCCTGCGCGCGGAGCGCCTGGGGCTCACCCGATGCTCGGCCCGCCCGCCCGCTCTCTTGGAGACCCTGGAGCGCCCGCGCGCGTCCCTACCATTCAGCTGCCGGTAGACGATGTCCTCGAGCAGCGAGAGGCGCTTCAGGACCGCATCCTGGATGGGGCTGGCGCTGTGCGCGCTGAGGTTGGCCGCCTCAGCGCGCGGCCGGATCTCGTGGAAGGCGTCTCCGCTGCGCACCGCGATGGGCCGGCACTTGGCCAGGAAGAGCACGAAGCCGGCCACAGCAATCAAGTTCAACACCAGCAGCACTTTGACTCTTCTCAGTGAAGCCATCAAACAACCTGGCCTGCCCTGGCCCCGGACCCGCGACCCCTAAGGCTCCGGCGAGGCGCAGGGCATCCGCGGGCTGTGCGAGCCTCAGACACCTGATGGCGGGTGACGATTCCCGCCGCTACAGGCGCCCCACGCGGATGCTCGGGCAGCTGGGACGGATGGAAGGTGCTGATGGAGCAAAGAGCGCAAAAGCTCCCGTGGAAGCCTGGGGGCTGCAGAAGTGCTAGTCCTCGGAGACGCCTAATGGGTCCAAGGCGCGCAGTCCCTTCCAGGCGTCGTAGCGAAAGGACGGAGGTATCCGCTGTGAACCAGCAAGAGGTTCGCCTTGGACCTTGGGCGGCCCGACCCAGCTGCTCCGGGAGCCGCGCGCGCAGGTGCCGGCGCAGGTGCCCGGTGCGGGGAAGCACGCCACTCCTGGGTCTCCCAGGGCCACCACCCTCTGGCCGGCCGTCGCGGCGCGCTCTTCAGAGGAGGACCCGCTCCTAGGGGTGCTTGCCTTTGTTCCACTCGCCGGCCCGCTCCATCACGCACGCCGGAGAGAGCGCTCTGCAGTCACGCTCAAGTCTGAATTACTCTCAAAGTGGGGGGCAGTCCTGGATGCAAAGGTGGGGGACACAAGGTGTCCTCTCCGCCGCCCTCACCCCGCCGGCAAACTCACCAGCGCGCAGCGCGCCGCGGGCTCCCGGACACGTTCCAAGTCCCCACGCCGCGCAGCCAGCCTTCGGGGCCTGTCTCCGAGCTGGCGCGTCCCGAGGCTGACCGGAAGGAGGAGTCGGACCCCAAAAGTCACAGCAGTTTTCTATCGCCCCCGCCCATCTCTGCCTTCCCCAAAACGTCGCAGAAAAGCGCGACCGGGAGCGACGCGCGTGGGCGTACCCTCCGCTCTTCCTGCGCCCCCAGAGCCCAGCGCGGAGCGTCCCCAAACCCGCGGACGCAGTGACTCCGCCGCTGCGGCACCGGGAGCTCACACAGCCCCGGAGGCCGGGGAGCCGGGAGGGGACGCGCAGGTGGCGACGGAGGGCGGGGCGCGGCTGCTGCTCCTCCTCCTCCTCCGCCCCTGGCCAGCGGGTCTCCGCGCTAGCAGCTCGGCCGCCACCGCCCGCAGGCTCCAGGCGCGCTGCTCCCCCGCCGGCCGGCTCGTGCGCGCGCACCCGGAAAGGGTGGGGGCGCCCGGAGAGCGCGGGCCACGCGGGCTAGGGATGGGGATGGGCTGGGAGGGCAGTCAAGTCATGTTGGCGGCGGCGGCTGGCGCCGGAGGGACCCTTGGGTTCTCAGCAGTCCCCGAGCTGGCGGGCTTGTTCCGTCCCGGTTGGCGATGAAGACATCCCCTTTCTGTGCGCTCTGAGCTTTGCTTTGCGTGGCCAGGAATGGCTAGAGGGAAAATCTGGCCTGGAGACTCGGGATTCTGTGGCTTCCCGAGTCAGGCCACGACTCTTTCTGTCTGGTGGAGAATTCAGGACGGTCGGAATCAGTTTCTAAGTACACCCACAGCTCTGGGGACATTTTAATATCAAAAGCACGTTCCTTTGACTAATGGATTTCCACGACTTCTGCCCCAAACCCGAGTCTCCCAAGAAACGGAATCCTAAGGTCTTCTTGATCTATTTAATTCCTTCAGCTGAAAGAAAAAAAAAAAAAAAAACACAGGCTTCCAACGAATAAAAATTAGGCAGTAAAATCAAGTGGATTGGTTTCTACCTCATCATTTCCTTCTTGTTAAAGGTTGTACTTTTTGTTTTGTTTTGTTTCTATAGTAGTTGTTGGAGAGGGGACCATATATATCTTGGATTGGTTTTGCTTATAACTTCCGGTGTTGATTTTTAACATAGGAAAGAACAGACCAATATAACTGATTCGTGTGTGTGTGTGTGTGTGTGTGTGTGTGTTACTAGGGATCAAACTCAGGGCCTTCACAGTGAGCTATGTGCTCAGCTCTTTCTTACTTTTTATTTTGAAACAGGGTCTCACTGAGTCACTACGTTGCCTATACTGGGCTCAAGCAAACTTGGATTCTCCTGCCTCAGCCTGGGATAAACAGCATGCGCCACTACTCCAGTTTATCTTTTTATTTCACTGGCTTGGAACTCTGTTCATTAGGATCCTTACGGTGTTTTGTGCAATCTACAAGATGTAACACAATTAAATGAGGTTTCCACACAAAAACCCCACAAGGGTTTTTACTGGAAAATACCCAGGGCCTTCGCATTGAGCTACATTCCCACTCCATCGTACCCCCTCCTTTTGAGGTAAGTTCTCACTAAGTCACTGAATTGCCCAGGCTGGGCTTAAATTTGTAGTCCTCCTGCCTCAGCCTCCCAGAGTCTCAGGCATGCACTCCCAGAACCCAGCAAGGAACATTCTATAGCCACATATATTTGGTGAGAGAGAAGTCGAGTGGGAAGAAGCCTGGGTAACAGAGCAGTTTGATGTGACAGTCACCAGGTCAGGCAAGGTACCCAGTTGTCACCAAACCACTACAGATGAGAGCTCGTGCAGGGGCGGAGAGGAGCCATACCCTTCCCTCACCCATCACACGGGTCACGGCCCACACACCTGCAATAAAAGACAGGTTAACAAGAGCAAAGCTGAACACATTTATTTCATCACAGTTTTGTGTGACATGGAAGTTTTCAAATAGGAACACCCAAAGCCCAAGTCAGAGCTGTCTGTTTTTATGCCTTGATTGCATGAAGCACAGGCAGCTACCTAGACCATGAGCAGACTAAGGAGTCTGATCTAGCAGTGACGGTCAAGGGGATCCAGTCAGAGTGCAGAGATTCTACTGGCTTCTCTGTGTAGTGTGAGGTGCAGCCTTTCTGGAATATGAGTCTGTACGGGAGGAGAGAGGAGGGGGAGGAGGAAGAGGAGGAGGAGGAGGAGGAGGAGGGAGAGTTGTGTGGGTTTTATTTCTTGCTTTGGGAGAAAGGTTCTAGATTCTATGTCCAGTCCTAAGAAAGAGGAATTCTGCTTTCTAGATCTGGCTTTGAGGGAGAAAAGAGAGCAAGACAAAGTCAAACTGTGCTTCCAAGGCTACTTCTGAGAGCTTCCAGTCCTGTGGATCAAAGTACCCAACTGCCATACTTTGGGGGATCAGTTTCTGAGCCCCACACTAAAACAACCAAAGTGTGTACAAAAGTCCTTTTAGAACATACACTCAGAAATGAGAGGCTGAGACAGTGGGGTGGGGTCCCCCAGTAGTAAGTGGAACTAAACCCAGCAGGTAGGTCTCACAACCAAGAGGGGTCCAGCCAAAAAGCAAAGACACAAAGCAAAATAGAAAATCACAGCCTCAGAGTCACTGAGAAGTCTCCAGGCAAGTTTCAACCTCAGACAGATTGCTTTTCTCTCTCCAAAGCCAGAAAAGACTCAGGGCCAAGTGAGTTTATGACTTCATCATTCATCCGCCACACCTCTCTCCTCAGCTTCCATGTTCATCGATGAGATCTGACATTCTAGACTCCACGAGGGACCCACACCCTTCCTTCACACAGAAGTGTTTCCCTCCCACAACCCTGCTCTATGCAAGCCTCTCCTTGTGATTTAAGTTCCTTCTCTACCCTTCTCCGTCTTCATCATTACTTACTTATGTCAAGCAAGTTCCTAACAGCACCCATCATTTCTGCACTGCATATCAGCCACCACCTTTTATCTCCACTGTGGACCCAGGAAGCAGATGACCCACAGGAAAAGCCACAGCTTCTCAGAGCCTGGGGACACTACTTCTTGATGGTCTCTAACTCTAGTTGAGTTCTCTATCTGCCCAAAGCACTGATCCATGTCCAACTCCTTTCCCCAGGGGGTTCTCTGGGGAGACATCAGGAGTCCATAAACACATCTTAATTGTATACAAAAATGTAGGTGTATAATCCATTTGGATATTTTTCTGGGAAAAAGATCTATAACTTCATTAGATTTTCAATGTGGTAGGTAGGTAACCCTCAACATTTGAGGTCCTGTCACATAGATGTTATAGAGTTGTCCCTTGGAATTAGTTCCTGAACTACCCCCCAAACACAAACACACATATAGATAACAGCAAACACTTCAGGTGCTCAGGTCTGTTCTATAAAATGGTGTAGAATTTGCATACCACCTCTGCATATCCTTTTATAGACTTTAAGTCATATCTAGATGATGTATAATTCCTAATGCAATGTAAATGTCATGGAAATGGTTGTCAAATTATATTGTTTAGGGAACAAGGATAAAAAGAAGGATTGATTCCTGTTCCACTTCATGTACTTTTCTCCCCATGCTGGGGACTGAACCTCGGCCCTCACACACCCTAAGCAAGCACTATTCCAATGAACTATATGTCCCCCTCTGTGTATTTTTGATCTGTATTTCATCGCAGTGATACTAAGGGATTTAGCTCAGAGCTAGACACCTACTGGGAACAAGCTATATCAAGGGAGTTGGCCACCAGGACCACATGTGGCAGAAACTCCAAGGCAGAAAGGAGAGAGGAAACACTTCACAGCCTGCACTACCAAAAGT